AAGAGTATTATTGTATGTATTCGCAGCTGCGACGGATTCTGAATATATAAGAGAGACGAATAGTCTCTCCTGCCTGTCCGGAGAGCCCGAGACGATTACGCTCCCATGCCGGTGGACCGCTAAGAAAGAAAGAAAGGAAGGAAGATGACAGACCGGAGTAGAGCGTCCCGACGTCTGGCGTCGCGCCAAGCCGGCTCGGAAAGAATACAGGAGGAGTAGCACGTGCTTCCGACATCTCGCGATTTCGTGAATCGTGACGCCCGTGCAATTTTAGTCCTCGATTGAAATTATTTTGGCATGCGTTCTCTCTCTCTCTTGCCTTCTTTATTCCCTGTAAATTCGGCTGGCAAACAAAACGGACGACTACCTGACACCTGATGTTGGCGCGACGCCGATATGACACACGTGAGAAGTCTTTCAGAATTGAACGGTGACGATCGATTCACATGTCTCGGTTGAGATTCCCGCACGGAAATCCGCTTATAGAAATACGAGAGAGATAAACTCTTGAAAAAAATCATAATAATAATAATGCATCTTTTTATAACGATTTAAAGTTATATGCAGTTTGTGTGCAAAATTAATCAATGAATTTGTACACTTTTATCAAATTTAATCGCGAGAGGATTGTGTAAAATAAAAAAAATCTTTGTCCTGAAAAAGAGTTGATAAAATTAAGAGATGTTTTGAATCTAAAGTTTTCTTGGAGCTTTCTCTTCCGAGAATCTTGAAGCGGCGACTTTGTGTTTAAGCAGGTTTCTTTGGAATAATAAATAGTGTATACTTTTTTCTCTTGTCACACGTGTGGCGGATACATCTCGCGCGATATAAAATTGCCTTTTTTTTCTCGAAACTTTAACGGCTGATTTATACGACATGGTCGTTCCAAATAATACAAAATAAAATTTTAGCACATGTGATAAATTTAGAAAATCGCGAACAGCTTTTTCGCGCAAAATCAGGAATTGTCAGAATACATAGATGTCATCGATTATTAAACGATGAAAAATTCAAGTGTTAACATTGCATGTAACAGTACATCCTGGCATAAAAAATTCCATCAGGATTATACGCGATATACACGGTTGCAGAATATGTCGGATCAGTTTGTTTGCATTTATCCACCGTTGTCACGAGACAGAACGTTTCAATCTCCCTTCGACCTATTTAGAGTGACACAATGGAAATAGGAGTGCCGTGGCTCGACGCTCTTTTCGCGATTGACGTTAACCGCGCGTGATTAACTTTTTCACATTTTTTTATTACGCACTGTATTACCATGGTTGTCTACATTATTTTCTACTAGCATTTTATTAAAAAACGCATTTAAACTAAACGTAAAGCCGAGGAAATAATATAGAATTTCAAAAATTATTTAATAAAAATATTATTTATTAAAATACCTGGATTTATATTCTCTCGTATATCCGTAATAAGCAGAAGAATCCCGAGCATTCATAATTTTCCAAAGGAGCGACAGCACCGATGACGCACTTCCTTCGCGAGAGATAATCGACATGGAAAATGAGAACTGTCGTTGCGCCTTTATGTCAGGCTATTCTTAAGATATAATAGAAATAAAAGAGCTCTCTCCCGCATACATGTGACGGAAAATTTTATATTTCAAGACACGCCGATTCTCTTCTGATAGCTGCGAGAGAAACTTGCGAGTATCTTGCTCGGCTGCGTATCAATGCAATAGCGTGATCGGAGGTACATAAATTTCCAGTTATAATGAAGCTGACTTATTAAACTTGCAAATCACCGTTATGTGTAACACTCGAGTTATTAACAAAGCAAAAAATTCCACTCTAACTGCATATTTTCAATAATAAAATCCACGCAAATTACGTAAAAATCTCATCTTCCGCTCAGTGTACCATTTCTCTGTACAAAATTATTAAATACACAACAATTTTTATATTTTATAATTGTATTACTAATAATTCGTACGTAAAAAATTACAGTTTCTGTTCAATGAGAAATAATTATTAAAAGTCCAGAGATATAAATATATGTATAAATTATGATAAAAAAAAATATGGTATCATAATTATTACTTCAAACTTATCGATGAAATCAATAATAAATAATAATTTATATATGAATTTCATGTCGTTCTCCGATTATACCGAATAGTAATATGATAATCAAGATTTAATATGTGAGAAAAATATTATAGAAAGTAACATTTTTTATACTTTATAATTGTATTACTAATAATTCGTACGTAAAAAATTACAATTTTTGTTCAATGAAAAATAATTATTAAAAGTCCAGAGACAAATATATGTATGGATTATGATAAAAAAAATATGGTATCATAATTATTACTTCAAACTTATCGATAAAATCAATAATAAATAATAATTTATATATGAATTTCATGTCGTTCTCCGATTATACCAAATAGTAATATGATAATCGAGATTTAATATGTGAGAAAAATATTATAGAAAGTGAAAAATAAAATTTCCAAGATTATTAGGATTTTGGGCGAGCGTGTGTAGCTTAGTTCGTTAATTATTGCTCTATCAATATCGCGAATCGGGAGAGGATCGTTAAGACGGAATAGTTAATAGGTGTTATAATTATATTGTCTTTTACTGCGTTTATTCGGATTATTAAATACAGACTTTTACTCTCCACCGAGAAAAACCGTGTATCGCGAGCGCGAGTCAAAATCTATCTGCCCTTCGAGGCCGCGTATCGTCTTTCTTCTCTCGATTTTTCCACGACCTTATTTTTATTTTTAGGTGATTAGTCTATCTATTATTTTGAAGACTTTCGCTTTTTATTCTATTCGGAAATCATAATCTACCTTCGTCATGCTAGACGCTTATTTATTTATTTATTATTTTGTGTCACCGGTCGCGATATCCTTAACACTCGTCGCTTGTCATATATTTTTATTTCGTGTACATTTTTATTTTTATATATTTTAATATTCTTGTGGCATTTATCGCCACAGGATGTTAGCGGAAAATCATGTCGGAACGTGTTTCGTTTTATTATATATTTTTCACGGATACGTAATGATGACTCTCGTAAAAGATTAAACAAGTTATTCAGATTTGTGTATCGCGAGACACTCTAAGCCGAGTGTATACATAGAGAAAATACTAATACCTCGTGTTCAACAGTCATTAACGTCCTTGACGCGGCGAGTAATTCCAGGTCTTTCTTCAATTTCAAGAACTAATGCGGGAATAATATTCACCCGGACGCCGCCGGACGGTGATTAATGGCCCGCGTAATTTTTTACATCGCTTATAGCCGCACTGATTTACATCTATGCGGATCTCACCTCCCATGGCAAGACATTATAATGTAAGAGATGTGAGATTTATGTCACCAAGGTATATATATGTATATATATCTTTCTCTCGCCGACGGAATAAAATTATTATTAAATCCCCAAGAAATATTTTATTCGCCGTTAAGTACGCGATAATCTGACAAAAACAAAGAAATTCTTTTCTTTACAAATTTCTCTGCAATTCAAGATTGTGGAATAGATTTTCCACAGAGCTGTCGCGACGCAATTAATCACAGCACACAATTTTTTATTTAGAAAAAAGAGCAAAGAGTTTGAAGTCTAAGACTCTAAAGAGTATCAGATTTCAAACTTTTGAAACTTCTTTAAGACCTTTAGTGTCCAGATAATCGAGACCATATGGGTCCCAATGCGCGCAAAGTCTCCTGTTGCGTCTAACGATATACAATTCTCGAGAAGGTCTACGTCTGTCAAATTAAAAGAGAAAGGTCAGAGAGTTGATCCGGATAAAAAGCTGACTCTGACCGACGGTCTAAGACATTAAGCCCTATCGCGCGAGCTTCTCTCTTTCTCTGCCCTTGCACCAACTGCAAGCGTGAAACAATGGCTCGCTAATGGCATGGTAGAAGAAGAAGGCATCGCGCAAATGCGGCGGCAACAATACACCGGTACCGCAATAACGAACGCATTGTTGGTAGGCGCCGCGACAAAGGGCCCGCATTATAAGACGTATTAACATGTCTAGGCGCATCTCTCACAAACGCTGCCCCCTTAATAATTTACTCTCTTTCGCACCAAGGCCTGATCCGCGCATCGCCGGATCTACCCACGTGTCGCTCGTTACCCTTCCTTCCTCCTTCCCGTCATGTCTTTATCTTGCGACATATGAATAACTATTTTGCGACAGTAGTTGCATCAACAATGCAAATCGCGTAAGCCTGGCTTTAATCTCGAAAAAAATTTATCCATTAAGTTGCAAGCCTTTATTCAAAATTAAAGTTGTCTCGTTACTTTCTTCGCGTAATTTCAAAAATCAACCCATATTTTTTCCGTATATATTTTATTTTATTTTCTTAATGACATAAAATTTTCATTGAGCGCCACTGTCGCTCGAAATTTATTATTATATAACTCTCATTTTCCTGCTATGATACCCCTCGAAAAAGATCCTGAAAGATGACACCGCCTTTTTCCGGCCAACCCTGCTCAAGATAACACGCGTTTCGACGACACGTACGATTGTCTCGAGACAAAACGAAACGCCTACGTGAGGCAATTAATACAGATAGTTTTGGACAACACTTGGAAAATGTCATGAAAATTAAATATATATACAACCAACACAGGGTAACGTTCGTCAAGATTTATTTGCGGCGACATTGTTATAACTGTTGCGTAGTTTCAAGCGAGATAATTTGGAATTTGTCGAGGGTTTATCTCAAGGAAATAAATTAGAGGAACCTCGACAGGAAAGTCATCCGCTCTCACCCCATATCCCACTTAAACTTTCATTATCTACAGGACATCCGAGTCCTCGGGCGTTTCAACTGATTTAGATTTTCATCTAAAATTGCTTCCTTTCAGTTTGTGTAGTAACTATTTAGTGTACCAATCTCAGAGTAATTTAAAAGGATTTTCATCGGATCAACGAGTCTCACAGATAGCGAGTCGAAATTATTCAAATTATTATCTCAACTAATTTTATCATGAAAAAGACACTCACCCTCATACATTTGCGCGTACTGAGGAAATCCGGCAGCTCTCAACCATTTGCAAGCTTCTTGCGCCTCGATTTCTGAAAGAGAAATTACAGAATTATAAATTAGAATTAAAAATGATACATATGCAAGTATGTGAGAGAGATAAAATTAGAAACTTGCTAATATAGAAACATTTACACAAATCACTGTAATATTCGCGAAATATGATCGGGTCGGGAGAAAAGGCGTGGAAAATAATGCGAGGTCGAGATCGCAAAAAAAAAAAAAAAAGCTAGAACGATCAGAGGCGCATTCTGGAAAGTCGGTCGTCCCGCTGGGACGAGTAGGACGGAGTGGAATTCATAATACGAGTATACTAGGCGCGTATCTGCAGGGCGATAAAACACGGGTAACCATCAGTATCGATATCGCCGCGGCGGATTTATCGATTTCCTTAGCAGCGGGTAGCCTCCTCGCGAATGAACGGTCAATGTCTTTATTTTCCGCCTTCAAGCCGGAGTATCTCACCTGCGGCGCATCGATAGTCGAGTCGCGATGCACCTTTTAGTTCGCTCTTCGATTAATCTACGACTCTTATGGCACTATTAGTCGCGAGCGAGACGCCGTCGTATTTCAAATGCATTGCGTGTTTCGAAAAAAATTGTCTTTCTTTCTTTAATCTTCTCCATTTCAAGAAGCCGAAGAAATTCATTATTTTTTCGTAATTAAATTTTTATTTATTTATTTAATCTTCTCGATTTCAAGAAGCCAAAGAGATTCAAAGTTTTCGAATGCTTCAAATTTTTCGATATAAAATAGAAGCTTGACATTTGTAATATCATTCATTCCACGAGCGCATCGTCATAAATGCAATGCGACGATGGCATTATTATTATGATGCTCGTTAAAGGGAAAGAAAAAAAAATGAAATTAAGCTATGCGAGAAGTCACGCGAGGTCGACGACACGAATTTACGTAAGTAGCCATGCGTTCATGTATATGTATTCATGGTACATATTTACGTATGCCACTTATAGACATGCAAATGAACCGTCTCGCTCCTAAGTACCCACCAATTGCATTCGGATCTCAAGTCGCATGAAAAAGATGTTTAGGATGCTCGCCTCTTTTTCTCGGGATTCGCGCCTCGCAAACGTATAATAACATTAATTCCACTAACTAAGCGAAATTTATACAAATTAGTATATTTTTTATTGAGAAAAAATTATCGTCAAGACTAGAGAACAAATATTTACCATAAACAAATAACACATTCGAGTGTTTCACTTTTACGAGATAGATGTATAATATTTCAATGCGCGGGAAGGACAATAATCGTGACGAAAATAAGTGGGTGTTTATGCGGTGCCCGTATAAAGAAAAATAGCAAACGATAAATGTAATCCAAAGGGCGAACATAAAAATTGGCGAGCAAAAGGAGGATGTGAGCGAACGCGAAAGAGGAGAACAAGACGACGAAGAAGCGGATGAGGAAGAGGAGTTCGAGTTGAAGGTCTTCACCGCTGCGGAGATCGTTACAGCAACTAACGCACAGTCGCTCCACGGACGCGTGGGCGAATTATAATGAGATAAAGTATCTGTATAAACGTTAAAAATATCCCGTTTCCGCGCGCTGAAATGCTGACGAATAATAATAATGCGCGTAGAATCGATGCATTGTCCGTGAGAAACAAGGGAAAATGACACGCGTTTTACATTCGGCTTTAATGGTTCGCGCTTCAATACGAGGGAAAAAATTGGCAGAATTAAATGTCAGCAAGTTGACGAAAAAATTTATTTGTTTCGCGACAACACAATCTCGAAATAAATTGAATCTCCTACACGCTACATAAGCGTGATAAAACACGCGCATTGCGCGTCAATTCTCGATATTCTATTGTAAAATAATAATTCGAATCGTTTACGCGTGTTTATATACCACTGCAATATGAGCTCGTCAAAATATCTGATTCTGGTTTGCATGAGCTTTAACCGGCTGATTAAAATAGCGAGCTGGAAAATTATTCAGGGAGCCGCAGGCGAACCTGAGCGAACCAATTAACAGGCTAATTGGAGAGTTTCCGAATTTGAGTGATTTTCGGCGCGGAAGTCGATTGGCCGCGCACAACAGGAGTTAAAGGTTACGGGTTGCTTCCTTGCTAGCGGGAAAGGTTCGAGGAAGAGCTTTTATCTCGCGTGAAGCGACACACCTACATGCCGCCTCTTTATGCAGAACATAGCTGGAAGTTAAATTGCAACGACCTACCGCAAAGTTGTACGCGAGTGTCTTATCTCAAGTTGGATTCTCGTCGCGTGGCCTCGCGAAGGGGATACGAGTCAAATGAGTAAGGAGAGTTGTGTGTTGAAAGTTATATTAACACCTGACAAAAGAAGGAAAGAGAGAAGCAGAACTTTACTCTCGTCAATCTTAATCAGGTATAATCCAATTTAAATTTATTTACATACTTTCTTAAATCTTCCCTCCTCTCTCAATTATTCGCAAAGAATAGATGAGGATATAGTGTCTGTTCTCTCTCAGGGTGTCTAGCAGATCCAACGAAAACATTCCCTGACTTTTTCAGTTTTTCCAAAACCAGAAATTAATTTTTCCCTGACTTTTTGGTATTATTTTTTCCTTATATATAATTTGCATATATCTATATGATAAATCAATTAAATGTTAAATCGTGAAATCCTTGAAATATTTTTGTCAGCGATGAAAAGGTTCGGAAGTTAAAACAAAAATTTAAATCAACTATACAATCTGCATTATGTACGATAATTGAAACAAACATGTCACTATAAATTATTTAAATAATCACCTTTTTATTTATATTATATCAAATTTTTTAATTTTGTCTTTATCAAACACATTGAAATAAAATAACACGACGATGAAAATATAAATTAACGAACACGCTGTAGATGAATCGATTTTTAACAACACAGAAAATTAGCGTGCTGGGAGTCGAGAAATAGTTTATATTTATTTGATAAAAATTTCAAGCTATTGAGACAAATGTAGAATAATGTGAAAAAATTCAGATAAATAGTAAAATGTCCTGACTTTTCACTGACAATTCCAGATTTATAAAATTCCCTGACAATGCTCAGTTTTCCAGATTTCCTTGACCGCTAGACACCGTGTCTCTCTTATACGTTTTCAATTATAATTATCTTTGTATGCCGATAAAGTTTCTTCAAAAAGTTAGCGAAAAACAGAGATTATGTTATACATATGTGAAAATACTATTATATGGCGACATATGTAAATATGAAAAAAAAAAACCCGACGGCATGGCCGACGTTAATCTCGTTGCAATCGGTAGTTCAACTCGCTTGCCGTGGGCTTTTATCGATCCCCGCGGGATGAACATTAATTAAATGGCCCATATCGATGCGGCAGTTTGTTCGACAGCTCGTTGCTCGTTACCGTGCGTGTGTGCGCATCCATTTTTTCGGATTAAAAACATCCTCACGCATCGTTGATTAATGTGGAACGTCGCATGTCAGGATGATGCTGTCGCTCGATTTCGAAATATCGGCTGATACTCGCTTTTGTAACTCCCAATCGATCCAGTTTGCGCGCTTTCTGCGCGGATTAAACGCGCAATATAAATGGCGAAATTCCAATTAAACTAATCCTCGCCTCGTTTTAATATTATTTTCACTTCCGGAGGCAATTTTGTTTCCAATATAAAATCATAGAATGTTCGAATCTCAAGTTATGCATGTCATTTTTGTTTCAATAGAATTAATCAGTCTTATGAATACATATATATATATATATATATATATATATATATATATATAAATAAAAGAAATAATTACAAAAGCATAAACGATAAAATAAATGAAAATAATGTATTATAGCAAAATAATCAACAATAATAAAATATAGAAATACTGTTAAATTTTATAACGATTATATACTACTATTACTATATAAAATTTTTGACGATTTAAATATTTTAGTGTTAAAATATTTCAATTTTGGACGCTTAAATATTCCAATATCAAGTGATTTCGAGCTTTCGGTCAAATTAAGATTTCAAACAAAATTTATGCATCGATTTTAACGTCAGGATCAGAGTAGGTCAAGCATTAGAAGAAGACTGAAGTGAGGCTGAGATGTAAAAAGTGCCAGAAGCTTTATGCCACAGATCGAAGTCGAAGGACAGGTCACATTTTTGCGAATACACCGTGTATCGCATTTGTGTCCCACAATCTCAAAATGCGCGATTGTTCACAGATTCAAGTCAAGTGTATGCATTCGAAACACATTCTTTTCCGATCTGTTGTAACGTAGTTGTTCTCACGTAGACACAGTCAGGTAAAGCTTACATCCCATCTGAAATTTCGCATTATAGCGTGTCATTACTCAATAATTATTACCTTCCGATAGCCTTCCGGAACAACGATAATAAATTTTTTATTCATTGCGAAGAAAAAAATATCAACGTAAAAGTTGAACTAAACAGAAAGAAACCACGTTCGCAACTTCTTATCCCTGAGTTTATCCACGAAATAAAACTTCCGAGCTGGGAAAGTAAAAACGGGAACGATGAAGAATAGTATAAATATAAGAACGTTAATATATTACATTCTTTTGCGAAACACAACGTGTTACAAAAGAGGTAAATTCGTAATTATATATTCTATTCTCTAACTCGAGCTTATTCAGTCAATATACCTATATGTATAAAATTAATCTATAATAAATAATTAACTGTTTCTTTGAATAGAATTTTCATCATTACGTCATAGCATCCCACGTGCATTCTTGCGAGGACGTACTTGTTCTATTCAGATAGTTTATTGTAACAAATCAGATTCATAAGCGAGTTTATTGATCGTGTATGCAACATCATCGTATATCTGTCGTCAATCGAGTACGATAAATCGAATTGCATACCATTGGTGTGGGTCACAGTTCTGCAAATATGTCATTGTTTTCGCATATCGCATCTAGAGGCGGGTTGGCGCCAAAGATAATTTCTGCTCGGTGGATATAAACAAGTATAGTACGAATATCGTGAAACTATATCTGTTCCTCGAATCAGGTTTATTTTCATTATTATGCAAGCCTCGAAAA